TATTACTGATGAGGCCTCATAAGGATGTCTTTCTGTTTCAAAGCCATTACTAACATTTTGGGACATGTCTACTCTAACTTCCCACCCCCATTCAAATTTTCCTTTTCGCTGGAGTGAGACTTTGAGGTAAAGTCAGATGATATTATTCCTCCTCTTCTTGATTCTTTTCATTGTCTACCTGCCACATATCTCCCTTTCCTATGAGTCCAAAAATACGATGGCAGAGATGGGAATGACTGAGTCATTAGCAAGATTAGATGCCCCTGTCTGATGCCAGAGGAGTGGTCTGGGAGAAGGAGATGAGCATGTTCTCAGTGCCCCCTCAGCAGAAGATTGCCTATCACCTCTCACCTGGTGTGTCTGGCATTCTGTCTTTCCTGGGGAAAGAGCGCTCGAACATCAATTTGAGAAATTAAAATGATGTCTTAAGGAAAATGAGTAGAGGATTCCTCAGAATAAAGGCTTATTTAGTTGAAGTTTTGTTTATCCAAATGAACAAATAAAACACTGGTTTGCATGGAAATCTTTTAGCAAAACAGCTAGAATTGGTATTTAGTGGAAGGTTGCATAATAGCTCTGTTATAGGATTCGGGTGCTTGGGATACGCTCAAATAATCTCGAGATGTACTTACATCTTTGTAGAGTAGAGGAACCACTTTCTCGTACCTTTCTTTTATTGCAAATTTCATGGAAATGTCTGTTACTAATTGGCCTGTTTTGTTTGTTTTGTTTTGGGGATTTTTTTATTTTTTTATTTTTTTTTTTTACATTGGGAGCTACTAACACCAGTTAAATATGGACAGGGGAATCCAAATAGCTATTTTATTGCAGGTACAGCATTTATTATGTGAGCAATTCCTATCTGTTGGTTGGAATAATTATCATATAAAAAAGGCAAGTGGGAAGGAGAGAACAGAGAGTGGCTGGACGCTTTGTTTCCTTGTCCTCATTCTGGAGTTTTTGTTTTTGATCTTTCTTCATCGGTAGAACACACAGTTTCCGAAAAGTGGCTTTTTCAGGTTTCTTTTCCAGAAGGCTTGCATATCTGACCTGTTAATGGTTGCTTTCAAACACTAGGACAACTTGGCAGGGTTTTCCCCTTTGTCTCTTCTGCTGATTATTTCAATTGGAATTGGAGTGTGATGGAAAGTAGTTTCCAGCTCATTTTTGTAAATTAGGAATACGAGACCACCGTGTATGGATAAATCTTTAGAAAGCAGTTCTCTGGGGGTGGGAATCTTTGCTGATTTCTGTGGTGTAAATACTCCCACCAGGGCTGATTTCAAGATACCAGCAAGATGTTCCTGAACACAGAGTTGGAAAGAAATACACTGTAGCAAACCATTGTGGAATTTGTCCATCACATACAAAAACCATAGCCCTGGAGTCATGGTAAAATGTAGTAAATAGTTATGAAGTGATGAGTTTTGAGTATTTATTACTTAGGTTTTTAAAGAGGGCTTATTAAATGGTAAATTTAATTTTTAACAATGGCTTTGTTGAACATTGAGCTCTCAAAGCTCCTGGAAAGGTAACCACTGGTTTTAACACATTGACTGGGACCCAGAGAAGTCACCGTCTCACTGAAGTGTCGATGAATGAGCTGGCAGAAACTGGATTAGTGTCTGTTTCTAAAAACCAAATTTCTCCAGGAAGATTGACTTATTAATATTTCTGCTTATTCATTTGTCACTTTTTATTGCATGTTCTAATGATCTCTGAAAGGGGTTTCAGACTGTTACAGGCTGTTAATTATCTATTGAGATAATAACAGAATATCTGAATATAATTGTAACCAAGGATGGAGTGTGGAAATCAGATTTGATGTAGAGCCATAAATAGATCCTGGCTTTGAGTCTTGGCCCTGCTACTCACCAGTGGTGTAATCTTAAGTCACTTATGTACTTCTCTGGCTCCAATTTTAGTCTCCAAGATGAAAGAATTAAGCCACATGAATCTCTAATATCTCATATCTGTCTAAAATATGATTCATTATTTAGACACATCAGTTCAACAGATATTTGCCAATACCAACTATGTGCACATTTTTCACAGACTCGATTCCAGGCAGAATTAAATACAATATAATTATAGGAATTATTATTATAACAGCATCTCACATTTATGCAGTGCTTTCTCATTTGCCAAAGAGAAAGTGTACTTTGAGTCTTGATGTTCTATGGCTCTAGGAGATTAAGACACATCCTCATAGAATGTTAGAGAAAGAAGAATGTATTCTAAAAGAACAAACAGAACTCTTATTCCTAGGAAACGCAAGAGGTCATAACCAGGTAGTAACAAGGAATAAGGAACAAGCATTTTTTTGCCATGTCTATCAGTTGCTTCATTTATCTTAACAAAAAGCAAAACCGAAAACTTTTTTTTTTCTAATTATAAGAGTCATTATGGTAGACACTTTAGAAATTTTAAAAAAGTATTAATTAGAGAAACTACCATATATCCAATATAATAGCCTTCTCTTCTTTACCTAATATTTTAGTATATTTTCCAAAATATTCTTATCATTTTAATTGCTGTGTATAATTCCATCTTTTTGGTGTACAACAACTTACTTTTCTTAAATTGTTTACATTGTTGACAGTTTTTATTATTCTAAGGATCACTGTGTTAAATAGCTATGTTTGTAGAAAAACGTACTTTGGACATAAGTTTTCCAACTGTAATATTTAAGGTTTAGTAAGATAATTTCAATAAATCATATGCTTTTGACCTTTAGCTTATTTAATTCTGCCAATATTGCTTTGTATTTACTTAGATTTTATGTTTCTAAACATTAGAAGGAACAGTTTGCCTGAATCCTTCAATATGATATATTTGAACTGGAAATAGCATCAATGTTTTCATATTATTTCATATAGACATGGTAAATTGTATCGCTAATAATTTTTTTTCACTTTCTTTGGGCAATAGCTTCTAGTACAGGGTGTTTTGTTTAGAAAGTACTCAATACATGTTCAATACATAACAAGATTTGAGCTAATTTAGGGTAAACGAAAACATTTGAGAAGAATTTAAGAAAAAAAAGAAACAACACTTCTCCATTCATGATAATAGCTCTCATTTTCACAAAGAGAGAGGACAGCCAAGCACAGTTCAGGAATTCTGATGGTTAAATGAGAATTATGAAATGAAGTATGTTGTTGCTTTAATTCACCGGCATGAGAAACCATGACTCTAATAGTTATTTGATTAAATGTTAATGAGATCTACTAAATTGACCCAACTCTTACTTTTATGTATTAGATGTATGTCAATTAAAACAAGATGAGTTTTACCTCTTTCCTCCTTTAACATCTTTGAGTCAACATCTGCTTACAAGGGAAGTGTTGTTACTGCCCTGGTTATTTAAATATTAATGACTTCCATTAAAGGGAGCTGGAGGTTTGCAACAGGAAGAGGGAGAAATTAGATGGCCTGATTAGTTTCTTGCCGCCAGGAAAAAAAAAACCAAAAACTCTTACTGGAAGAGCTTCTTCCCCTAATTTTTTGCTTCCACAGATTTTTTTTTTTCCTGAACCAGTTAGAGAGTAAGATTGTTGATTTTAAGTATTCCTTGAAAGTAGTTATGTTATTAAAACATCAGTGTAACAAGTTCACATAATTTTAAAAAATGTTTTATCAGCTCCATAGTGGTCACTACTCTTGGGATTCTTGGGACTAATTTCAGGTTTTAAATTCATTTTGTTCCTTATTATAGGCAAAACCATTTTTTAGCTACGGATTGTATTTGGTTGGGCTTGTTTACATGAAGTATGGGGAATTCTATTAAGTCAATCATGAAAGATTTGACAAGCATTGTATATTTGATCAAATTATAATGGTAAATGTCTATCTTACTGGGGAAATGTGTCTAAAATTTGTTACAACCAGTATTTTCATGTTATGCCAGTTTGGGTTATGATAAGCACGTGGTAATAGATTTTTATATATTTTGTGTTTTTAAGATGTTTTAATGGCATGGTATTTTAAAGCACCATTTTAACAGTCCAAAGCAGGCATTATGTTCACATAATTGTATATTTCTTTTTACATCCAGAAACCTGAGTGAGTAAAGTATTTATTTGTTTCGTGTACTTTACTTAGACTTTAGAGCTAAGATTTTGGATCATGCTTAAATAGTAGTAAGGCAGAGTAATAATAGTACTGATGTAGGATCATAATTCTTAGCATTAAGGATTAAGGTGAATCAGGTGTGGCCTTTGCCCAGGGTAAAATTTAAGAGCATGCCAAAAAACTCAGTAACCATGATACAGAGTATTTTAATGCAATGTTTGGGGGGGGAAATCAAAATTAATGCAAGAAAAAAATACATGATAAACAAAACATCAAAATTTTAGAAAAAGTTGCAGTCCAGCCCTGCCTGTTCACCTGACTCACCTTAACCTGATCTTGGCCTTGACTGGGTTCCGCATGTCCTAGGATGAGGCATTCCTTTGAGTCAAATTTTCCTTATCTAAAATTGGTGATAATCACTTTTGATTTCCTGGTCGGGTTATTAAGATATTCAGATCAGCTGGAAACACATGGGAAAGCCCATTGTAAATTCAAATTATATGTTTATGTACAAGTTTAGGGAAATCATATAATTTTAAGCCATTATTATTATTATCAGCTGAGATGAATACTCTAGACAAACATCAGATTCGAAGACCCTTAAAAAGCTGTGTTCATAAAGTTTGAGGCATAGCTCTTGAGTTTACTTATCAGGTAGCTATAGGGACAGGGACCTATAGATAGTCCTAGGACCTCCTTCTTCTTCCTTCTTTCTTTTTTTGTTCTCGGATGCAAAGTTTATGATTTGTAGAGAGAGAAGAGGTAAATGGAAATCTATTTTGTTTGTTTTAAATTTTTAAAATTTCTCTGCCATGGACAACTCATATTTCCCTTTTGCTCAAGCTGTTCCACCCATCAGTGATGCCTTCCCCATTTCTCCCGCCCATTTGGGCTCCACCCGCCTTTTATGCACATCTGCGACCTTGGTAAGGCCTTCCTGGGTTCTTTCAGTCTTCTCAATCCTCTCCCTTCCTGTGGTAGGTAACTGTCTCTACCACTCATCTGGTGATCAGTTACAGAGTCCTGTCGTCTTAAAGTTTTAGCTAATCCTGCATTAAATTTACTTTTCAGACCATAGTTTTAGAAATAGAAATTGTCTCTCTATATTTAGAAATACAAATATAAACCTGGATAGTGCCTCCTTCTCCCTTAGACTGCCCACTTTGGGGTAAGCAGGGATTGGGTCTGTTTTATTCAGGTTGTATCCAAGGTGCTTAACACACACAATATACTTTTCTTTTTTTCAATATACCTATTTTTTGAATGAAATAAATGAAGGTCTTATATATAAAAGGCCTGGGTCAATATTTACTCTTCAGAATCATTTGTCGTTTTCCTCCTAGGACTAGAGGGAATGGTTGGTGCCATGTGGAAGGTGACTATTTTGGTGACCATGTTCATGTTCAGCCCTGGTAGTGATGGACTCTTTCACTCCATATACAAAAAAGCTCGGGTTTCTGTACCACATGAGGGAGACGTAGGAGAGCCATTATTTCTTACTTCCTACATTGAAGCTGGAAAACTTGCAGAAGGTAAGTTTCATAAAATCAGAAAACCACTGGTAAATTTTCAACAGGTTTTTTGTTTTTTTAAAGCAGTCATCTTACAGGATTCAAAATACCTTCTGGGTTTTATACTCAGTTGTTTTATTTCAAATATTAATGGTTTGATGTCCTATGTTATCAGAATTTTGAGCTAAAATGAGAGTTTGTCAGGGACAGATTATCTAGTGGTGGAGGCCCAACAGTTCTATTTATAAAAAAAAAAAAAAAAATAGCATAGTGCCTGTCCACAGCTGGACACTTAATGAAGTGACTATTTTTTTAAAAAGATTTTATTTATTTATTTGACAGAGAGATATCACAAGTAGGCAGAGAGGCAGGCAGAGGGAGAGAGGGAAGCAGGCTCCCTGCTGAGTAGAGAGCCCCATGTGGGGCTCAATCCTAGGACCCTGAGATCATGACCTGACCTGAAGGCAGAGGCTTAACCCACTGAGCCACCCAGGCGCCCCTAATGAATTGAATATTAACCTTAGAACTTGATATATGTCAGTTACTGGTTCAAAGGATTCTACATAAACTCATGTAAGCATCTCCACAGCCCAGGGAGCTGTACCCATTTGACACACAAAAACACTAAAGCAGGAAGAGATTCAGTTACTTGCCAGAGTCAGCTGGACACCAGCTGGTAGATTCAGGATTCACACCCAAACAACCTCACTCCTCTCTATGACCACAGGCATCATGTTGGGCCCCTTGGCCCGGCAAGTTCCCCAAACCTCCTAGGCCTCAGTTTCTTCCTTAACTAGATGGACAAATAATCACTTAGTCACGTTGCAGTGATGTTAAGAATCAGAGGAGAAAATGCACATGAAGGCTCTTTGTAACCTGTAAATTTTCCCCTAAATATTAGTGTTTGCAAGTTGTTTTTACTTAGACATTGAGGGTTTTTCTGTTACTATTAATAGGAAAGAGGTGTTATTTGGTATCATCAGAGACTGAAATTTATGGTATGTCTCTGCTCTTAATGCTTCTTTATATTTAAGTAAATCACTGTGTAGATAAATTACTTAATCTTTCTGGACATCAGTAGGCTCCTGAACTATAAAATAGTATATAGGCAGCTAGCCTGAGGTGCTCTTTGTATAAGGAATCAGAGAAATGGGGTGGTGGCTGGAGGGTGCTATGGGGTCAGGAAGGGTCTTTAAGAGAGTAAGAGACCATGTGTTTGCTGATAGAAATGATCCAGGAGAGGATGGGGCAACTATTTCAGGAGTACTTACCTTTTTTTTTTTTTTTTTTAATTGTATTTATTTACTTATTAGAGAGAGAGCGAGAGAGAGCAGGTGGAGGAGCAGAGGGAGGGGGACAAGCAGACTCTACACAGGTCTACAGGGGCAGAGCCTTACACGGGTCAATCCCACAACCCTGAGATCATGCATGACTTGACCTGAAATCAAGAGTCAGCTTAACTGACTGAGCAACCCAGGTGCCCCAGGAGTAATTTCTTTAAGTAGATGAGCAACATGGCGGCTGGCCCATAGATGGAGGTGTTTGGTTTGAAGGACTAAAGTTTATCTCTCATCACAGGAGGGAAAACTGAATTAATGGCTGTGAGGCTGGTAGGTTGATTGATAGCAGGAGAATGTGTGGAAGTGATACTGGATATTTTAGGGAAATAATCATTTTAAAGACCAAAATAAGCATGTGGACTCTGTTAAGAAGTTTTAAAATAAAGCAACTTCTCTTCATTTGAAATTTTCTCATAGCTAATAGGATATCATCATTTTTGTTTTGCTTTGTTTGTTTTGTTTCCTTTAAAACCAACACATTCTTGTATCTTAAGGGTTGCATTTGAGTCCTGGTGACATGTCTTTTTCTGACATACATACTGACTCCATGTCTCATTATCTTTTTTCTAAGAAAAGGTGAAAAACTTTGATAGTGTGGTCAGTGTACATTAGTGTATATTTGATGATGTAGTCAGAGAATGTAGTCAGTCCTTTTTTAAAAAAAGACTCATTTTTACTTGATGTGGAAATAGTTCAGGCTCATATCACGAGACAAATATGAAGAGGCGAATAAATATCCAAATCCACCAAAATGAATCACGTGCATTCATGTTGGATTCTTTAATAAGTGGAGAGTGATGACTTAGATTATGTTCATTAACAGGAAATCAAAGCAAATAATTTAGTTTAGAGCTGAACAAGAGTTGAATACTCATAACCAACCCTACCAATCCACAGATGAGGAATTCGAGATTTTAATACCTTACATGAACTGCCTAAGGAAATGCAGATAAGAGTACCAGAGATGCATTTAGGGCTCAAATTTTCTGACTTCTTCTCTGTGATATGCCTGCTACAATTTATTTTCCTTTATTTAAGGCTCTTGTGCTCTCCTCCTTCTTTTTTTTTTTTAATTTTTGTTTTTTAAAGATTTATTTATTTATTTGACAGACAGAGATCACAAGTAGGCAGAGAGGCAGGCAGAGAGGGGTGTGGGGAAGCAGGCTGTCCACTGAGGAGAGAGCCTGATATGGGGCTTGATCCCAGGACCCTGCGATCATGACCTGGGCTGAAGGCAGAGGTTTTTTAACCCACTGAGCCACCCAGGTGCCCCTCCTCCTTCTTTTTTTAAAGATTTTATTTATTTAAGAGAGAAAGAGAGCACACGAGGGGTGGGGAAGGCAGAGGGAGAGAGAGCTGAGCAGGGAGCCTGGTGCAGGACTCAATCTCAGGACCCCGGGATCATGACCTGAGCTGAAGGCAGACAATTAACCCATTGAGCCACCCAGATGCCCCAAGACACTTGTGCTTTTCTGATGTGACCAGATGCACACACATGAAACAATTAAGGAATAAAGCAGTGAGTACTAAACCGCTAAATTATTACATTCAAGGTAGGCATAATGGAAATTTTGAGAAGAAGGCTATCCTATTGGTTGGTATAGTACAGAAAACAGTAATAGTATAGTAGTCAAAATAACAAATGACTAATATTTAATAATTATATGCCCAGGACCTAGCATAGTTTCTTTTCTTTCTTTCTTTCTTTTTTTTTTTTTTTTTAAGGATTTTATCCATCCATTTGACAAAAAGAGAAAGAGAGAGCACAAGCAGGAGGAGCAGCATGCAGAGGGAAAAGCAGTGTCTCCACTAAACAGTGAGCCCAACATGGGGCTTGATCCCGGGACTCTGGGATCACGACCTGAGCTGATGGCAGATCCTTAACCAACTGAGCCATCCAGGCACCCCCCCCCCCCAGCACAGTTTCTATATGTAATAGGCACTAGATAAATATTTGTACAATTTAAGTTTTAGACCCGAATATGTGCCAAACATGGGTGTTACCCACACCTTAGTTTATTTAATCCTCAGAGCAACCCTAGTGAAGAAGATATAAGTATTGTTCCCATTTTACAGATGAGAAAACTGAGGCCCAGAAAATTAGGTATCTTGGTCAGGGTTGTTTAAAGATAGTAAGTGACAGAGGTAGAATTAAAAGCTATCTATCTCTGCTGACTCCAGAACCCGAGGTATGAGCCTCTGCACTGTGTGACTAGATCCAGACTTGAAGGTGCTAGGTGAGATTTGGACAGATATAGAAGGACGTGCATGTACTAGGGAAAGCAGTTCCAATCGAGGCATTTGGTGAAAGTGACCGTGGTGGTGTGTCTGTATCACATCTGGAAGAACCAAGTCAAAAGAATATGGGGAAGCCCATCTGAGAAACCGTCCATATCCCCCCATTCCTGTATTTGTTGCCTAGAAGCATTTCACCGTTGTGGTCATGAGCAGTACCAGAGAAAGCCCCTGGGGGTGGGGGTAGTTTTCATCCTCTGTCCTTCTGGGCCAAGTCTGATGGCTCACCATCGGATGAGCAACAACATCTAAAATAGTAAATCTGATGTAATGTCACTTTCTAAAGTTCTGTTACACAGTCAGAATTTTTGAATGGAATTTTAAGTAGCTAATCCAAAATCTGGTACATCTGGGTATTCAAATGCAGTCCTGATAACATAATTAAAGATAATTTTATTCATCCGCTTTACTGAAAGTTCAGGAAACTCTGGACAGATGGTCAGCTCATTCCCCCAAATCCCTTTTGTTTATTGAGTCCGTCAAAACCTTAGGAACGTGAGTCTTAGTATCACAATGGAACATTCTTGAGATAGATAGTAATTCACAAAAAGACAAGGGAATTTTTTGTTTTTTTAATCTCCCAATTAGCTGGTTTAGTTTTGTATAATAGTAATTGCACGTTTACTTTCTCTGCAGCTAGAGGAAACCCTTAAAACAAAATGAATAAAGGAGGCAAATTTTAAAATATTTACAGATACTGCCTTCTCACAAACTTTAAAGACTATTTTTTTATTAGGTCTTTATTATTACTTACAGTCTGGCAGTGTCTTGTCTTGTACTGGAGTCTTTGTAAATGTGAGGTACATTCTGATTGGCTAGTTCAAGTCCTTCTTTGGTCACACTCCTATCGTTTTCAAAGTGTTAATATCACAAACATTGGTAACTGCAGTAAATAATACGGAGGAAGTGAAATCACTTCAAAGAAAACCTTTTCCTTTTTTTAACTGTTTTGAACATTTGTATTGTGAGTCATGGTTGCAGGAAGTAAGAAACTCCTAAAATCTTGGGAGTTTATTTTCCACGTTTCATCAGTAGGCTTTGGAAGGATAACCCGAACATTTGAAAATATGAAATATCATTTTAGTTGAAAGAACTTTCAATTATTTTACCATGATTTTGTTAAAGGAGATTTAAAAATTGAAACGGGGTGAAACACATTTTTGTGGGCCAGGGAAAAGTTCTTCTAAATTCTTAAGATTGTCATAAGGCTCCCTTCTTTAGCAGATTTTTGTAGAAAAATGTTCATCTTACTGTGTTGTCAGTTTGCCGGGTTTTAGTTTATCAATTCATTCATCCGTTCACTAAATTCATTAAAAAGTGTGTATTGAATGTCTTTAAGTTCTTAAGTCAGCATCCCTGTGGATACAAAGATAAACAAGGCAATTTCCCTGCTTTCCAGTAGTTCCTGAGCTAGAAGGAAAGCAGGGAATGCACCTGAGTAAGTAAAAGGGAGCAGACAAACATCTTTGGAAGCCTCAGTAAAGGACGGCCGGGGGAGGACTGGAGTCATTTTCAGAGCAGGCCAGTGGACCTTGTGCTGGGCTGGCCTCAGAGAGATACATTGATTCAATCATCTCTCTCCCATCTTCCATTCCCTTTAGCTCCTTTCTATTACATATTTCCTTTTTCTCATTCTACTTCGACCTTCCTCATTTTTCTTTGTCTTCTTTCTCAAATCCTCTCCTGCTCACTTACCTCTCTGTGATTCACATCTTAACTTATTCTCAGCCCCTCCATCTCCAGTTCTCTCTCCTCCTTTTTGAGGTTATCTGATTGGAGAATATTAATAGTTCGGGGGAAAATATGTCAAAAGTGTTTCAGGTACAAAATTCCAGTTATAAAAGAAATTAAGTCCTGGGGATATGATAATGTACAGTATAGTGACATATTAGTTAGTAGTTAGTAGTAGTTAGTAATAATTATTAGTAGACATAGTTAACAATACCATATTGCATATTTGAAAGCTGCTAAGAGAATAGATCTTAAATATAGTTCTCATTATAAGAAAAAAAAATGTAACTGTGTATGGGGGAGGGGTGTTTACTAGACATTGTGGTGATCACTTCACTTTTCTTTGCCTTTTTCTGGCAGAGAAGGCTAAATCTCTTTGGGAAGAGCTAGAGAAGCTGGATTGAGTTACGCAGTCTTCCCTAGGGAAGCCGGACTAAGCCAGAAAAAAGCAGTCTTCCAGACTGCAGGTGGGGTGGCCCATGGGCTAGTGATGATATTCTCTTCCCTCGCCTGTGCCCTCATTTTTTAAAAATTATATATTTATTTATTTGAGAGAGAGACAGAGTGAGAGAGAATGAGGGGAGGTCAGAGAGAGAAGCAGACTCCCCATGGAGCTGGGAGCCTGATGTGGAACTCGATCCCAGGACTTCGGGATCACAACGCGAGCCGAAGGCAGTGGCTTAACCAACTGAGCCACCCAGGAGCCCCCTGAACCCTCATTTTACGTGCAGCTTTCTTCATTTGATCCTTGTGGAAAGCCCAGGGTGGGGGTGGGGGAGGAAATCAGTATCCTTTGCACAAGAGGAAAGAGAGACTCGGAGAGATAAAGCAACTTGTCAGATAGTCTGGCTAAAATTACAGACCTAGGTCTGCCCGATTGAGAAACCCCTGTTCTTCCTGTTCTGCTAGCTTAGCAGGACCGTCTGGAAACTGCCGTTGAGACCCTGCCTTTGTCCTACCATCGCCTCTGCTCCCAGGTGCTCCTTGTTCCTGATGAGCAGGTGCATTTCACAGCTTAGTTGGTGTCATGGGTGAATCAGGACCAAGCTTCCTGATGTTTTCCTCTCTGCCAAGCTTAATATGTGTCAGATATAAATAGCTTTTCTTGAATCAGTAGTTTTTACTGGTGACACCTGCTTTGTCACCACTAAGGAAGCTCTCTTCACCCAGACCCCTCTTTCAGTTCAGTTACACACTGCCGTCTCTTTCTTGTTTCTTCTCCATTCTGTTCCTGATCACTGTTCCTGTTTCTGCTCCCCTGCCACCCATACTTTCTGACTAACTCTGTGGTCAAGAAGCAGCATAGCAGGGTGAGAGAAGGAGCAGACTCTGAAGCCTGACTGCTAGGTTTGCCTCCCAGCTCTCCTTTACTAGCTGTGTGATCTCTGGCAAGTTACTTACCCTCTCTGAGCTTCAGCTCATCTGTAAAGTGGGGAACAATAATTACACCTATTGCATAACATAAAGCCCTCAGTACTGTTGCCTTTAAAGTGTTAGCTCTTCTATGGGCGCCTGGGTGGCTCAGGAAGTTGAGCATCTGACTCTTGGTTTGGGCTCAGGTCCTGATCTCAGGGTCCTGAGATTGAGCCCTGGATCTGTGGGGCTCTGTGCTCAGCAAGGAGTCTGCTTCTCTCTCTCTCTCTCTTTCTCTCTCTCCAACAAATAATTAAAATCTTTTTTAAGATTTTTTGTATATTTTTTTGTATACTTAAGTTTTGTATACTTCTGGGTGTCCTCAAGCTATCTGAGCAGTCCCTCTTTCCCCCTCCCTGTCCCTGTCCCTGTCCCTTTGGTGCCATAAAAAAGCCACAACCTCTCCCCTTTACAACCATCCTGTTGTACTCTTTGGCTTCCTCCGAGTAGCCACGAGGTCAGCCTTAGTCTCACTGGCTGCCCCACCCTACCTTCCCCAGCCTTCCCCGTTGCCCACATGCGTCAGCCCATTTCCCTTAATGGAAGTGGCAGGCCTTTTGCTTTCATGATAAGGAGAGTGTGGAGAATATAGGCCTTCCGGAGGCTGAGCTACATAGCTGTGTTGTTTCTCTTTCAACTGCCTCATGTTTTGGGATTGGGTGACTTCTGCCCTGGCCTTCCCAGTGGCTCAAATGTGAATACCATGATTTACTTTTTAGAGTGGAGCTTTAAAAAAAAAAAAAAAAAAATATATATATATATATATATATATATATATACACATATATATATATATATATCTTATTATAGCTCATAAACTATATTTGGGGACCCAAAAAAAAAAGTTTAAAAATGTCAGTTGTCCTTGGCTAGGTTGTGAATGTCGAATATGTGGAATGGACCAGGGCGGGCTGGAATTTGCTACAGTAAGCAGCTTTGTGCCAGTCTCCTGGTAGCCTTTCTCTTCACTCCATCCCAGCCCTGGCCGCTGGGAGGGAGAAGATGGGCTGAGATGGAGCTGGCTAACATTGTATCATTTCTCTAATCCTTGGGTAAATTTGTTCTTCCACTAGGAAAAAGAAAGAGTTTGGTCCCTCCTTTCCCAGGTTTGAATGTGAAGAGTTATGCTGGCTACCTCACCGTGAATAAGACCTACAACAGCAACCTTTTCTTCTGGTTCTTCCCGGCTCAGGTAGGTGGGCAAGAGCGCCCTCATAGGACACTAATCCTCAGGGGCTGGGGTTGCTGCCCCAGAGCAGACAAGTTAGCCTACAAACAATGTACTTTTAAAAAAAATTTTTTTTTGCATCTTTTAGATTTTTTTTCTAAAAATAAGTGCCAGTGACTCTGTGTGGTGTTCCTGTTTATGTGCAGGAAACAAATGTTTGCAGGGAAGGTCCAACTTTTAAATTCCTTGCAGCCTTGTGCAGAACAGTCACATTACCACCTTCTTCCTGCCATGGTCTTCTTAAATCATTCTGTTGTCATTTTGTTCTAAAAATACCTTGGGCAAGAATGGGCGGTCGGGAGCCAATGGATGATAAGGGATGGGGAGATTCCCAAAATGCACAGGTAATGCCCGTCTAAGTTAATTGATGGTGGATTTCCATGGCTCCACTGTCCACGGACTTTGTAGTACCAGTTCTTATTTTTGTACTCACCCCTTCATACATCCAGTACCCACTGAGTAGTATTCTGTGGGAACACAGGAGAGAGAGAACTGAACTTATTCTGGCAGACTTTGCAGGGACAGGTGGGGAGGACTGCTGATCTAGGATGGAACTCTAGAGCACAGATGACTCACTTTCTCAGGCCCATATACATACACAGCTGGGTATGTTCCTATACTTCACCAGTCTTGCTTAGTGCTTAGTGATGGCACACAAGTCTTCAGCACGAACAAATCACTTTAGGCTAATGGGTACTGTTTGGTAGGGAGGGGCTTGTGAAGATTGGTAGAGGTGCTGAGATGCATAAATAAATTTATCACACCACAGGATCATTTTCTATTTTTATTTTCCAAATTGGATTTGGTTTAGAAACCAGAGGAAACAAAGAAAAAGTTATCCCTAGGGAGGGTAGTATTTATATTTGCATCTGATTTGCATAGAGCTGCATTGCATTTATAAGATTGTTTACTCTAGTTTAAAGCAAATTAAATGGCTTTTATTGGTGCGATTGGGTTGTATTTTCTTGACTTCTCATTTCTGCTTTCTTAACCATGGCCTCTGCTGAAGTGGACCATGTAGTTGTGGATGGGAGGAAGCACATAAGAACTGGTAAAGAGTTCCAGATGCTTTTTGGTAGGCCTCATAGTAGTCTTCAGGCTGTCACCCAGTGCGGGTGTGTAGAGCACAAAGTTAAAGGAGAGAACTCACACTCAGGGTTGTATGGGTACCATGTTGGGACCTAAGTGCCCTCCAGACTCCTGCTCCTTCTTCCCCCTGGTGGAACACAACTGGAAACCAGAGGGGGAGAGAGTCCAGTTCTTGGAGCTCGGTCTACCAGAGCACAGAGCAGAGGAGAGAATGGATCTTCAGAAGCAGTGATGGAAACATACAAATATCCAGGACAACTGTCTTAAACAGAATCGATATAAAGGAAGCCTAGCAATATGAGCACATTCTAACAGGTAGAAATTTTTCGTGTGTGTGTTCTTGGAATCTCTTAACTTTATGCCTTTCATAAACCACACTATGCATGTGCATTTTTTTCTATAATTATATCTGTTTTTTTTTTTAATTTTGTTTATTTATTTGACAGACAGAGATCACAAGTAGGCAGAGAGGCAAGCAGAGAGAGAGAGGAGGAAGCAGGCTCCCCGCTGAGCAGGGAGCCCGACGCGGGGCTCGATCCCAGGACCCTGGGATCATGACCTGAGCCGAAGGCAGAGGCTTTAACCCACTGAGCCACCCAGGGGTCCCTGCATGTGCATTTTTGATGTTACACCTTTTAATATCATATCATTGAATACAGGCATTTGTCATGAACCCCTTTGTATTAGTTCTCTATTGCTGCTGTACAGATTACCACAAACTTGGTGGTTTAAACGTTGCAAACTTATTATTTCACAGTTCTGCAGGTCAGAAGTCTGACATAGGCCTCACTGAGCTCAAATTAAGGTGTTGACAGATTTATGGTCCTGCTGGAGGCTCTCAGGGAAGATCTGTTTCCTTGCCTTTTGCATTTTCTAGAGGCTGCTCACACTCCTCGCCTCATGGCTCCTTCCTCCATCTTCCCAACCTGCACCGGCAAGCAGGCTCACTCCTTCTCACATTGCATCACCCTGGCCGATGGCGTGTTCATGTGACCTTCTCTGGCTCTTGTCCTCTGCTGCCCTCTTTTACGTTTAAGGACCCTCGTGATAGCATTGGGCCCACTGGATAACCCAGGGTAACCTCCATATTGTAAGGTCAGTTGACTAGTGACCCCAAATCTTGCCAGCTACCTTAATTCCCAGTCACCATGTGGCTTAATCTATTCACAGAATCTGGGGATTTCGACGTGGACCCCTTTGGAGGGAGGGCCCTGATTCTGTGCCAAATGGATACTTGAAGAATTTGTCTAGATTTGTGATTCTTGGTATATTCTCTTTCAGTGAGTCTCACAGTTTATTGTGTATAAGAATTATCTCCAGATTCCCCCCGGAGACTCTGACTTGTAAAGTGGGAGAGGCCAGCAAGTGATAGAATTACCAGGTGGACTATACCTGAGAAGCCCTGGTTCCAGCCTACAGGCCACTGTCCTGTTTTTAGTGCTCCTGGACCCAAAGTGATCCACACCCCTTTATCCAGAGAAAAACACCTCCTGCAGCTAAACTGGTACACATGGGGGTGGTGTATTGTCCCATGCACCCATCTGAGCGAGGACTGGAACATGGACCTAATGTGGCCTATGGGGTCAGCTTTCCTGATCCTGCTCGATGTTCCTCTAAGGCCTGCTGGGGCTCCGTCTCCCCAGAGCTCTCTGACTCCCTTAGCCCCGAGAAATCCCATTTCCTACTTTCTCTTCTGCTTCAGTGGCTGTTTCTGATACCAGGAAGTTCCCCATTGTCTTCTGCATGTTGAAACTCCAACAGTAATAACCCAGATTTATGAAAACAGGAATTAATGGTGAGGGAAGTGGTCAAATGAAAACAAAGCAAAGACTCAAATCATTTCTTCTCTTGCCTCTGAGCAGGGGTATGGTTTCCTCTAGAACATGGGTGGTGCAGCAGGACTGGAAAGCCAGTCAGGGAAATGGGCTTAGATTCTGTGACCTCTTCTGGTTGCCAGACTGACATCTGAGCCCTCACTGCATTAAACAGTGACTGGGCTGCTGGGGTCTTCCCACCCCCCCCACCCCTGCTTAATTAACTGAAGACCTACCTCTGCATCCCCTGGCCAGGTGATGCTCTTTGGGGCCCAGGACTATAGCCCGAAACATGCTCTAAGATGATCCCAGAAGACATAAACTCAAGGCTGTGGCATCAGGAAAGAAGATGCTCGAGGACAGTGTGTTCTATTGGAAGTGACAGGCTCAGCTTCAGAGGAGAAACAGGCAGGCTGAAAAGATGGTACCCTAACAACTGTCAGCATGGGGCAGCCAGGATAGACGGTTCTGAGCCCTCCTTACCCGCGGAGCCCCCAAGCAGCACTGGCATCTGGGGCCCCAGAGCAACCATTCTTGCCAAGCCCAGGGCTGTAAATAATGAAACAGGCCATTTGAGAGGAAGTAGAGAAAGCAAATGAGAAGGAGAAGCGGTGATCAGATCACCCAGACAGGGGAAGAGTTCCTTTCATTTGGCAGAAAGATTAGTTCATTTCCTGCCACGGGGAAGCAGCTGAGATTATAATCAGGAGAGAAATGACCCTTTACAAAAATTGAAGGTAAAGAAAATAAGAGATCCAGGAAGGATGCCACCTTGTCATATCCTCTGAATATTTTGGGGGGGGGGTGCTGTTTCTCAAATTAGTTTTGTCTTCCTGTTATTTCTGCAAGACTCCCCTGTTATTGTATACAGATCAGTGTGTAATGGATTCTAGAGCTGGAAATTGGTGTGCAGTGGGGACACAATATGCAAGAGAAATAACAGGCATTTTATTTCATGGGAGAAGACGTATAATGAAGCCAATAAAAATGTCACAATTTTAATGACTGTTGTTAATTGAACATTGACTATGTGCTAAACACTGTGCATTTTCTTATTTAATCCTTACAATAACCACATGAAGAAGGAATTATTATCCTTGTTTAATAGATGAAGAGGACTACAGAGATTAAATAATTAGCCCCCAACGGCCCAACTAGAAATTGGCAGAACCTGGATTTAAAACTAGGCCTCCGATGGAGAAATCTTTGTTCTTGATCATTGTACGTTGATCCTGAGAAAACTGGCCATGAAAGGTGCTAGACTGCATCATTAACATTATAGCTCTTGAGTTAGTCAAGTTTGTCTAAATCCTTGGCTTCCGTGTGACAAATGTGAGGCTCAGATACCTACTTGACAACAGTTTTGGGACAAATGAGAGAATGTGGGAAAGCCTCAGATTGGTACCTGACACGTAGTAAGTAGAACTTCTATTGCTATTATCTCATTATCATCGTGTTTATCATTATTAGTTTTCCTGTTATTAATACAAATACTGAGCAGAACTAAACCAGTCACGATGTGGGAGATTAAAGAAGGCAGAGACCAGGAGGCCATTCCAAATCGGAAGTCGCTGAATGCCGGCGAAGCATGTGGATTCATTGCTACTGGGTAAAGACATTACAAAGTGACACTGGGGTTTTCCAATTTAAGAAGATAGAAAGGTGTAGAGATTATTCTTTTTATAATTAGAATTCTTCCCTCTGGAGAAAGATACCCTGTATTTGAATTTGTCTCGTAGATATGGGAATATAGATGATTTGTTTGATAGTCTGCCTCAAATATTATGGAACCCAAACCAGAGACCTTGAGAGTTAGGCCTTTGGCCCTCTGCTAAGGGCCCCGTCCTGCTCCTCTGGCCGAGAGAGTGGCTAGGATTCCTGGAATCTGAGTATCTGGTGACTGAGGAAGATCAATATCATATTGAGGAGTCAGCAAGGCTGGGACAGGGTGAGGTAGGCAGACTCCAAGAGTGACCTTGGTTTCTAGACGGGCTCCTGCCATATTGAATCAAGGCTGGCCCTTGTGAGCAATGCACTATAGAAGAAGCAATGGTGGGTGAC